TTGTGAAGCTCAAACGTGCAGCGTAACACGAGAATGAACCTCATTGGTTCTTGTGAAGCTCAAACGTGCTGCGTAACACGAGAATGAACCTCATTGGTTCTTGTGAAGCTCAAACTTGCTGCGTAACACGAGAATGAACCTCATTGGTTCTTGTGAAGCTCAAACGTGCAGCGTAACACCAGAATGAACCTCATTGGTTCTTGTGAAGCTCAAACGTGCTGCGTAACACGAGAATGAACCTCATTGGTTCTTGTGAAGCTCAAACGTGCTGCGTAACACGAGAATGAGCCTCATTGGTTCTTGTGAAGCTCAAACGTGCAGCGTAACACGAGAATGAACCTCATTGGTTCTTGTGAAGCTCAAACGTGCAGCGTAACACGAGAATGAACCTCATTGGTTCTTGTGAAGCTCAAACGTGCTGCGTAACACGAGATTGAACCTCATTTGTTATTGCAGAAGCTCAAACGTGCTGCGTAACACGAGAATGAACCTCATTGGTTCTTGCAGAAGCTCAAACGTGCAGCGTAACACGAGAATGAACCTCATTGGTTCTTGTGAAGCTCAAACGTGCTGCGTAACACGAGAATGAACCTCATTGGTTCTTGCAGAAGCTCAAACGTGCTGCGTAACACGAGAATGAACCTCATTGGTTCTTGCAGAATCTCAAACGTGCAGCGTAACACGAGAATGAACCTCATTGGTTCTTGCAGAAGCTCAAACGTGCAGCGTAACACGACAATGAACCTCATTGGTTCTTGTGAAGCTCAAACGTGCAGCGTAACACGAGAATGAACCTCATTGGTTCTTGCAGAAGCTCAAACGTGCAGCGTAACACGACAATGAACCTCATTGGTTCTTGTGAAGCTCAAACGTGCAGCGTAACACGAGAATGAACCTCATTGGTTCTTGCAGAAGCTCAAACGTGCTGCGTAACACGAGAATGAACCTCATTGGTTCTTGCAGAAGCTCAAACGTGCTGCGTAACACGAGAATGAACCTCATTGGTTCTTGCAGAAGCTCAAACGTGCTGCGTAACACGAGAAAATGAACCTCATTGGCTCTTGCTGAAGCTCAAACGTGCTGCGTAACTCGAGAATGAACCTCATTGGTTCTTGCTGAAGCTCAAACGTGGTGCGTAACACGAGAATGAACCTCATTGGCTCTTGTTGAAGCTCAAACGTGCTGCGTAACACGAGAATGAACCTCATTGGCTCTTGCTGAAGCTCAAACGTGCTGCGTAACACGAGAATGAACCTCATTGGCTCTTGCTGAAGCTCAAACGTGCTGCGTAACACTAGAATGAACCTCATTGGCTCTTGCTGAAGCTCAAACGTGCTGCGTAACACTAGAATGAACCTCATTGGTTCTTGCTGAAGCTCAAACGTGCTGCGTAACACGAGAATGAACCTCATTGGTTCTTGCTGAAGCTCAAACGTGCTGCGTAACTCGAGAATGAACCTCATTGGTTCTTGCTGAAGCTCAAACGTGGTGCGTAACACGAGAATGAACCTCATTGGCTCTTGCTGAAGCTCAAACGTGCTGCGTAACACGAGAATGAACCTCATTGGCTCTTGTTGAAGCTCAAACGTGCTGCGTAACACGAGAATGAACCTCATTGGTTCTTGCTGAAGCTCAAACGTGCTGCGTAACTCGAGAATGAACCTCATTGGTTCTTGCTGAAGCTCAAACGTGGTGCGTAACACGAGAATGAACCTCATTGGCTCTTGCTGAAGCTCAAACGTGCTGCGTAACACGAGAATGAACCTCATTGGCTCTTGTTGAAGCTCAAACGTGCTGCGTAACACGAGAATGAACCTCATTGGTTCTTGCTGAAGCTCAAACGTGCTGCGTAACACGAGAATGAACCTCATTGGTTCTTGCAGAAGCTCAAACGTGCTGCGTAACACGAGAATGAACCTCATTGGCTCTTGCTGAAGCTCAAACGTGCTGCGTAACACTAGAATGAACCTCATTGGCTCTTGCTGAAGCTCAAACGTGCTGCGTAACACGAGAATGAACCTCATTGGTTCTTGTGAAGCTCAAACGTGCTGCGTAACACGAGAATGAACCTCATTGGCTCTTGCTGAAGCTCAAACGTGCTGCGTAACACGAGAATGAACCTCATTGGCTCTTGCTGAAGCTCAAACGTGCTGCGTAACACGAGAATGAACCTCATTGGCTCTTGCTGAAGCTCAAACGTGCTGCGTAACACGAGAATGAACCTCATTGGCTCTTGCTGAAGCTCAAACGTGCTGCGTAACACGAGAATGAACCTCATTGGCTCTTGCTGAAGCTCAAAGGTGCTGCGTAACTCGAGAATGAAGCTCATTGGTTCTTGCAGAAGCTCAAACGTGCTGCGTAACACGAGAATGAACCTCATTGGCTCTTGCAGAAGCTCAAACGTGCTGCGTAACACGAGAATGAACCTCATTGGCTCTTGCTGAAGCTCAAACGTGCTGCATAACACGAGAATGAACCTCATTGGCACTTGCTGAAGCTCAAACGTGCTGCGTAACACGAGAATGAACCTCATTGGCTCTTGCTGAAGCTCAAACGTGCTGCGTAACACGAGAATTAACCTCATTGGCTCTTGCTAAAGCTCAAACGTGCTGCGTAACACGAGAATGAACCTCATTGGTTCTTGTGAAGCTCAAACATGCTGCGTAACACGAGAATGAACCTCATTGGCTCTTGCTGAAGCTCAAACGTGCAGCGTAACACGAGAATGAACCTCATTGGCTCTTGCTGAAGCTCAAACGTGCTGCGTAACTCGAGAATGAACCTCATTGGCTCTTGCTGAAGCTCAAACGTGCTGCGTAACACGAGAATGAACCTCATTGGTTCTTGTGAAGCTCAAACGTGCTGCGTAACACGAGAATGAACCTCATTGGCTCTTGCTGAAGCTCAAACGTGCAGCGTAACACGAGAATGAACCTCATTGGCTCTTGCTGAAGCTCAAACGTGCTGCGTAACTCGAGAATGAACCTCATTGGCTCTTGCTGAAGCTCAAACGTGCTGCGTAACACGAGAATGAACCTTATTGGCTCTCGCTGAAGCTCAAACGTGCTGCATAACACGAGAATGAACCTCATTGGTTCTTGCAGAAGCTCAAACGTGCAGCGTAACACTAGAATGAACCTCATTGGCTCTTGCTGAAGCTCAAACGTGCTGCGTAACACGAGAATGAACCTCATTGGCTCTTGCTGAAGCTCAAACGTGCTGCGTAACACGAGAATGAACCTCATTGGCTCTTGCTGAAGCTCAAACGTGCTGCGTAACACGAGAATGAACCTCATTGGCTCTTGCTGAAGCTCAAACGTGCTGCGTAACTCGAGAATGAAGCTCATTGGTTCTTGCAGAAGCTCAAACGTGCTGCGTAACACGAGAATGAACCTCATTGGCTCTTGCAGAAGCTCAAACGTGCTGCGTAACACGAGAATGAACCTCATTGGCTCTTGCTGAAGCTCAAACGTGCTGCGTAACACGAGAATGAACCTCATTGGCTCTTGCTGAAGCTCAAACGTGCTGCGTAACACGAGAATGAACCTCATTGGCTCTTGCTGAAGCTCAAACGTGCTGCGTAACACGAGAATGAACCTCATTGGCTCTTGCTAAAGCTCAAACGTGCTGCGTAACACGAGAATGAACCTCATTGGCTCTTGCTGAAGCTCAAACGTGCTGCGTAACTCGAGAATGAACCTCATTGGCTCTTGCTGAAGCTCAAACGTGCTGCGTAACACGAGAATGAACCTCATTGGTTCTTGTGAAGCTCAAACGTGCTGCGTAACACGAGAATGAACCTCATTGGCTCTTGCTGAAGCTCAAACGTGCTGCGTAACACGAGAATGAACCTCATTGGCTCTTGCTGAAGCTCAAACGTGCTGCGTAACTCGAGAATGAACCTCATTGGCTCTTGCTGAAGCTCAAACGTGCTGCGTAACACGAGAATGAACCTCATTGGCTCTCGCTGAAGCTCAAACGTGCTGCATAACACGAGAATGAACCTCATTGGTTCTTGCAGAAGCTCAAACGTGCAGCGTAACACGAGAATGAACCTCATTGGTTCTTGTGAAGCTCAAACGTGCTGCGTAACACTAGAATGAACCTCATTGGTTCTTGCTGAAGCTCAAACGTGCTGCGTAACACAAGAATGAACCTCATTGGCTCTTGCTGAAGCTCAAACGTGCAGCGTAACACGAGAATGAACCTCATTGGCTCTTGCTGAAGCTCAAACGTGCTGCGTAACTCGAGAATGAACCTCATTGGCTCTTGCTGAAGCTCAAACGTGCAGCGTAACACGAGAATGAACCTCATTGGTTCTTGTGAAGCTCAAACGTGCTGCGTAACACAAGAATGAACCTCATTGGTTCTCGCACTTCAAACGTACATGCTTGAGCTTCCGTTGACCACAACTGATATGTGAGTTGATGACTGTTTATATTTGAGTAAAAGCCTAAATTCAAACTGTTTATTATATAAAGTGTTCGAGTCTCTTCAGAAAATTTGGACTAAACCGCTCAATTCATATGGATTAGTTTTACAATCTCTTTATCAACTTTTTGAAGCGTCAAAGTGGTAGTTGCGTAGCTGTCAATGGAGGGACAGAAATCTTTCACATTTCATCAAAAATATCTTCATTTGTTTCAAAGATGAATAAAAAAGTCTAACAGGTTTGGAACGACATGAGAGTGAGTAATTAATGACAGAATGTTTTGGTGAACTATCCCTTTAATGGATCACAGATACTGTCAATAGAGCTTAACTTGTACTGAACCTGGAATAATTCTTTAGTGTTAGTTCCCTCCAAAAAAATGGACTTTTATGTCATCATTGATCTAAAGTTGTATGACTTTATTTCTTCCTCAAGGGAAATTGTGCTGTTTGCTCTTTTCCATGCAATTACAATGAACAGGAAAAAAATTCAAGCTTTTAAAAAGGACAAACTGTAAAAGCACCATAAAAGTAGTCCATAAAATGCTATATTTAGAAGAACAGACTGAATGTGTTATTCACTGACAGTTTCTCCTCCTGTTAACCCTTGTGATCTGATCCATGGATGAATCATTCAGCAGCTTCAGTTCTCATTCATTCAGTTGCAGTGAAAAGGGCGACCAGCACAGTCTTCAGAATTTGTCCTTTTCTCCACAGAAGAAAGAAAGTCATACAAGTCTGGTGCATTGAGGGTGAGTAAATAATGACTGAATCTTCTTTTTCGGGTGAATTATTCCTGTAAGTAAATGTTCTTGTGTGTTACTCACTGCTCTATTACATGAACACTGTAATGCACAGAGTGACTCAAGATGGTTACAGAAAGGCTTGTAACACACATGTTTTTCTTCAGGCTGATGAAGAACGGTGTATTCTGCTATCAGCTGGAGCTGAAGAGGGTCATCTCCGCCACATTGGCATCTTGTGTTTCCAGCTCCTGCTGGCAGCTTTCTCTGATCACGTACACGACCAGTCCGAAACAGATAAAAATGAGCAGCACTATGCCGATCACCTGTTAATGAGACAGAAACGGTGGACGTCTGTAACAGGTAACGAGAAACCACACTTGAAAAAGTAGCTAAATTAAGCACAATTTAAGCATCCATCCATCATAAACGAACTCCACACGGCTCTGGGGGGGGTAATAAAGGCCTTCTGAAGCGAAGCAATAATTTGTGTAAGAAAAATATTATTCTATGATTCTAGCTTCTGGCTAAACCCAGTCTACTTACGCCTAAAGCACAACTTATGATGTTGGAAGTAGTGTAGTGTGTCATGGCCTAGTGTAAACATCAGCAGTACTTCACATTACTTGAATAAGTTGGGCTTAGACTTAAGTCGAATCCGTATGTTCGTTTGGCCGGAAGCTAGTTATTTTACTTTATAAAGTTTTAAATCTGAATATTTTTCTTACACAAACTCATCGCTTCGCTTCAGAAGGCCTTTATTAACCCCCCGGTGAGCCGTGTGGAGCACTTTTCTGATGGATGGATGCACTTTTTTGAGCTTCAATCTGTTGGTTGCAATTCACTTCTTATAAAGCTTGGAAGAGCCAGGATGTTTATTAATATAACTCCAATTGTATTTGTCTGAAAGAAGAAATTATATACACCTAGGATGACTTGAGGGTGAGAAAAGTGAACTACTCCTTTAAATGATCATAAACACAATAACAAAACATGTACATCCACTATTATGGACATAAATTAATTGTTGGATTACAGAAGTAGTAAATGTAATGTCAAAAGTTTCATTGGTTTTTCTCAAGAATCTAGTCAAGACTGGAGCTAAACTATAAATATAGACATTGATAGAATCAAAGTTCTAAAGATAGCAAAATTACACAAAGGTATTAATTATCTTCAGAGTTCTACAAATGAATCAATGTATCTGCAGAGTTCTAAAAATGTATCTGAAGATACAATGACACTTTTTTTTAGAACTCTGAAGATACAATGATACATTTGTAGAACTCTGTATCTTCAGAGTTCTAAAAATGTATCATTGTATATACAGAGTTCTACAAATGTATCTGTATCTTCAGAGTTCTAAACAAAGTGTCATTGTATCATCAGATACATTTGTAGAACTCTGTATATACAATGATACTTTTTTTTAGACTGGAGCTAAACTATAAATACATTGATAGAATCAAAGTTCTAAAGATAGCAAAATTACACAAAGGTATTAATTATCTACAGAGTTCTACAAATGTATCTGTATCTTTAGAGTTAAAGTATCATTGTATCTTCAGAGTTATACAAATGAATCAATGTATCTGCAGAGTTCTAAAAATGTATCTGAAGATGCAATGACACTTTTTTTAGAACTCTGTAGATACAATGATACATTTTTAGAACTCTGAAGATACAGATACATTTGTAGATACAATGATACATTTGTAGAACTCTGTAGATACAATGATGGTAATGTCAAAAGTTTCATTGGTTTCAGAATCTAGTCAAGACTGGAGCTAAACTATAAATGAAGAGTTCAGATGCAAAAGCCTCTAAGTGCCATCTGAAATTTTCTTCTAGAATGATCATTTTTATCAAGCTTGTTTATTTAAGTTCAATAATTTCACTTAAATGACAATGAATAGGTAATTTTCATAGCCATTTAAGTGAAATTACTGAACTTAAATATACGAGCTTGATAAAAATGATCATTCTAGAAGAAAATTTCAGATGGCACTTAGAGACTTTTGCATCTGAACTCTTCAAATATAGACATTGATAGAATCAAAGTTCTAAAGATAGCAAAATTACACAAAGGTATTAATTACCTACAGAGTTCTAAAAAAAGTATCATTGTATCTTCAGAGTTCTATAAATGTGTCCCTGTCATTTGAAAGTGACAGTGAGAGTTAGCAGGAGGTCTACTGGAGCGTAAAGACTCGAGAACTGTCCTGACTGGTTCTCACCTGAGACTCCACAAACAGTCGCTGTGAGCGCAGCATGAGTTCCTGAGGAGTGACGCTCTCTTCTTGAATGGGTTCACACCATTTCTGCGGAGCGGCTTTGTCCACGATCACGAACCGACCGTGCCAGTCTGTCATCGCACAGGCGAAATACTGACCGTCCAGGAAGAGCAGGATCAACCAGACCACAGGGGGGACGAAACTGGACAGAGACACGGTCCTCCTGCACCAGACGTCACACCTGCATCCCTGAATGATCATCATCAGCGCGAAGGCCATGACGGCGGGAATGATGAAGAATGCGGAGGAAAACAACCCGTTCCAGGCCGGATTACACGGACACTCAAACTCCAGCTCCACCAACTTCTCCAGTCCCATCAGGATGAAGCCGAAAGCCACGTTGGACACCAGAGGACTGTTGCTCAGTTCATTCTTCAGTCTCGTAAGCCATTGTTGTCGACTTCCCATACTAACAACACCTGAAAGTCAGAGGAGAGCTGGTGAAATTCCTCCCACACATTTGCAGAAGGTCACTGACGCGAGACTAATTGATCCTGGGGCAAGTTTTCCCCCTCCTGACCTTTACCTTCCCATTGGCTTGGAACAAAGGTGGGTGTGTCGTTCGTCACCTCTCCTCTGAAGGTCATTGGCTCACGGCTGGTGGAAGGTGTGGCTTCCACTTAAATGTGTCTTTCATTGACGTGCTTGAGTAAAGTGGAGGGAAAAGTGTCAGCTCTGTTATTGGGCAGGTCAGCGTGACTGCAGATCTCAACGTGCTGTGTCATCAGAATCATTCTCAACTCACTCGCATTGTTTAGGGTCGCCTTTACTCCTGGGAGCTTTTTAAAAAGAATCCTTAGATACGCAAACTCAACCAGTCAAAAGTTTGGACATAACAGGCTGAGTTTGTTACGTATGACCCTAAAACCTTTAACCTAAAGGCTACTGCTTAAATGCTTTGAGTTAGTTTAATAGACAAATGTAAATTGTGCTTGCATATGAATTTCTTTAGAAAACAAAAATGGTTTTACACAATTGGGTTGTAGTGGATAGTGAAGGAAAACCGGCAAAAGTGCAGCATATACATTCCTCCTTTTAAAAGCACACCAGAATGCACCTCATGAATGTTTAATTTTAAAATAATAAAAGAGTTGGTATATTCTAACCATTTTTAGGCTTTAATATACTCGTCAATCCACAAGATAGTGAAAAGTAGACCCTATAATACATTTATTTAATACATTCTTAAATATACAGCTTACAAAAGGTGTTTTTTCCCCCCACAGCAATGCAATAGATGTTAAAGGTTCTTCATGGAATCATCAATGCCAGTAAAAGAACATTTATTTTGAAGAGTGTATCATCACAATACTTAAAAAAGTTTTATTTAAAAGCATCCCAGAATGCACCTCATGAACGTTTAATTTTAAAATAATGAAAGGTATATTCAAACTATTTTTATGCATTGCATTGATATTCATTTTAATCCACACAATAATCAAAAGCAGATCATATAATAAATGTATTTAATACATTCTTAAATATGAGCGACAGCGATGCAATAGAAAGATTCCATTGATTTGTAAAAGGTTCTTCATGGAATCATCAATGCCAGTAAAGAACCTTTATTTTGAATATTTTCACTGTTTCATTCAACTTTGATCAAATGAACGCGTGTTGGAGGAAGAAGAGCAGTGACCGGCGAGTCACCCAGACCTGTGTTGGAGAGATCTGCTGTACTAGCTGGGTTCTCCATCAGATGGCGCTGTGTGAATGAGCGAGTGCAGACAGAGGTCATGATTCTCCTCAGCTCTTAATCCTGACTGACTGTATGTTAATGTCCACGACCACGCTGTGTGGATAACGCGCTTTCTTGGAGAAAATCTTGGCAGTGCCCTAGATAAATATTCTATGGAGCCGTGAGACATTAATAAAAACCAGTATCATTACTACCATGCCTATGGTATTCTTTGAAGTATTTAAATTTGGAGTAGCCTACCATTTGAATACAATTATGCATGGATATGGTCATTATTCAGTCCATAGCACAAGGGAGATCGGTGCTAGTTGTCATACACACCCAGGTGTATATGACTTTCTTCTTTCAGCCAAACACAATCAGAGTTATATTAAAAAATATCCTGGCTCTTCCAAGCTTTATAATGGGAGTGAATGGTACCCAAGATTTCGAGCATCCATCCATCATAAAAATCCATATGACTCGCAAAGCCATGCGTTTTTGTAAGAAAAATATACATATTTATAACTTTATAAACTATAATCACTGGCTTCTGGTAATGGCCGTATATGCTGTATATGTTTGTAAATTCTGTTTTCCAAACTAAAATTCAAATACCATATTTTTGTAATATCTGTTGGGTAACGAAAAAAAAAACATTGATTTAAAGACAAGAGTCATTATATAATGAAAGTATACTTGAACTGTTTCAGGTCAAAGGTATTTTTATATATATAAATATATCAGCTTGGGGCGGGTTGTCACAGTATAATTCATTAAAAGACATTGAGCAATAAAAATTAGACCAATGCTAATTAGATATGTATGTATATATATGGTGGGTTATTGTTGGGAATGTAGTTTAAAATTTGTAATTACTATAAATTGTCTTTCAGAATTAACTTGCATGTAAGAACTATTAATTGGAGTAAAATGTGTGTGTGACCATTACCCCGGGTCCCCCTCTTTATCTAAATATAAGCACACTGAAAATATATTTTATTGTAGTGCGTGTTACTGTATTGTAATGCGACTGTTTTTTTAATTCCACAGTGACTGAATGGCGCTGAAGCTGCGCAGATCTGATGCGCTCGAGGCACCGCGCGGACGGGAGCGCGCGCTGACAGCTGATGATGCGCGCGAATGAGCCTGCGGGGTGCGCGCACTGACAGCTGAAGGTTCTTCGCGATGACGGACACACCGATGGCCCATCATCATCATCACCATCATCTTCAGCATCAGCATCCCTGAGCATCATCAGCATCATCTTCATCCTCATCCATGCATCAGAGCCGCGCCGCGTCTGTCGCGTTTCTCTCCGTGCGTCCGCGCTCCTCCTCAACGCTCCTCCGCGACTGAAGCCGCTCCGCGTCTCTCCTCACCGCTCGCGTCTCTTCTCTCTCTCCTCCTGCGGGATGCGGTCCTACACGGGGATGCTCGCGCTGCTCCTCATCCACGGGAACCTGATGCTCACATACGTATCATCTCAGAACGGTAAGCATGACGGAACGCGGTCGTGCGGGATCTCTGTGTGTGTGTGTAATCTGCTTTAGAGGTCGATGCCATCTTTACGATGACAGACACCCCTCTGCATTACAGTGTTGGTGTGTGTTGCATAGAGGAGAAGAGATTTGAGATTCGACCCAAGTGGGAGTGAGTTGATCATATCTGCGCGCCTGCATCAAGCTTGACATTGCTTGCACTTTAAATCAGGGCGTTTTAATTATTGGTGCGGTGAGAATGTTTACAAGGAGTGTTTTCCTTCTCGTATTCTCCGGAGTAATCCGTGTTGTTGACACACTCACCCTTCTGACATTCACACTCTTGCAGGAGATCTCATGACTCCTGTGTTTGAGGAGAAACACACAACATTATGTAATGCCCTGATGTCAGTGACTGATAGAGAACCTGCTGTTATTCTCAACTAATATGTGAAAATGTGTGTATGCTTTTGCTTTTTGAAATGGAAAGCATTGGCTTTGTGAGCAGTAAATAATGAGTGTGTGTCCCTAAAGGCATGTGTGTGTGTGTGTGTGTGACTTTATATTCTGGAGAGTCACATCTGTGACCAGGAGAGGGCAGATTCATCACCTGACGAGGGTATTCCCTCCTCGGCCTGGGGAAACAGACAAACAACACTGAAGCATCAGGCAGCTTTGTGTCTAAAAGATTATGTATTCTGCAATACATAAAAATCATTTTTTTTTTGGTAAAAAGCATCAAACGTGATCTTTGGCGGAAGCAAGTTTTGGCAGCGCAGATTTCTGACTGTAAATTGTTTAGTCAACCAGAAATGTTCTTCATGTGGTGATATAGTTTTATGTAATCCTGAACTGATTTGAACATGACTGGTTTAAGAGTCGGATCAGGAAGAAAGAGCCGGTCCGATGTGAAGTGTGTCGTTTCTGCTCCCAATATTATCACGAAATATTGAGTATCAAGCTGGTTTCCCAGAAGTGTTATACGCAGAAGGTCAGATTATACGCACTTTAACAAATTCATATTGGTTTATTTATTCCAACTCTCTCATATCCCAGATGAAAATACAAAGTATTTATCATTAGAAAAATGCACAATTATATCTAGCTGTGAGTTTTGTATTTGTGTGTATATAGCACTTTAAAAAAGTAAATATATATAAAGTGTGTGTGTGTGTGTGTGTGTGTGTGTGTGTGTGTGTGTGTGTGTGTGTGTGTGTGTGTGTGTGTGTGTGTGTGTGTGTGTGTGTGTGTGTGAAAGAGAGAGAGAGTGTGTGTGTGTGTGTGTGTGTGTGTACTGTATAAGTGATCGTGTTTCTTCATTCATATGGATTACTGTTATGATGTCATACTTTTTGAAGCTTGGAAATATTGATTGCTTTGACTTTCAATAGATGGACAAAAAAATTGGAGATAATGTTAAAAATATCTATATGGCAGCTTTCCCCCACGGTATGGAAAGTGGTATTGATTATCAATATTTTTCAGGGTATCGTATCAAAAAATTGTGACAACACTAGTGTGTGTGTGTGTGTGTGTGTGTGTGTGTGTGTGTGTGTGTGTGTGTTTGTATATAGTTTTTTAAGTGCTTGCAAGTAAAGGAATGAATAAACATGCTCTGCATAAGTGCTATCAGATACAGAGTGTGTGAGAGCGTGTGTGTGTGTGTGTGTGTGTGTGTGTGTGTGTGTGTGTGTGTGTGTGTGTGTGTGTGTGTGTGTGTGTGTGTGTGTGTGTGTGTGTGTGTGTGTGTGTTTGTTTATGTCCCTTTTGGGTACATTCACCAGGATACACACCAGTAAACTGAGGACCACCTCAAAAATTGAGGACATTTTGTATGTCCTCATTTGTTTGACTATATAATGGCATTCAGCATACTCTAAAATGGTGTCCAGACTTAAAATCTCACTTGTCCCAAAAAATCAGTTTTAAGTGATTTGTGTATGTGAAGTGTGTATGCCCCCCCACTAAAGTGTGTATAACACAGCGCCCTCTAGGAGTACTGCACTTCCGGAAAAGATACACACTTCGGGGATTCTGACCAATCAGAGCGCAGGAAGCCACTATGAGAGCGGGACTTAATGATCTGACCAATCTGAGGCCATCACGTCATCAACAAAAATGGCGGAGCGGAGGCGATATCATTATTATGAATGAATTGACAGATAATCCACATTCAATAATAGATAAATTCGCAATAATTATTATTTAAATAAAAATAGACTAATTTACCCTGAGCAGCAGGAGCTCTCACGATGTATATGGGCATGTTATTAAACTTTAATCCTCGCAGTTTTGCTCTCGCATCGGAGTCTGCTCTGTGTAACGTTATGTGTGTGTGAAGATCGCGCTGCTGCGCGTCACCGAGACTATACAGCTGTACAGTAACTTACATAGGAGTTTATTAATCATGTAGGAACGAGTTTGAAGCGGGGAAGAGACAGAGACATTACGTCATGTGAATTTACAAAGTACATATTTTCTTCCAAAAGCGGAGGAACAGCTGTTTAAATCTGTCAATATGGATGTGATGATTTATTCATCCAAGTTTGTTTAATAAAAACACACAAGCCACCAAAAGATGTGAAAACATGCTAAATCGCTTGCTTTTATGAGTGATTTTATTTGTTTGAAGTGTTTTCTCCTACTTTGCGTTCTGCCGTTTCCTCTCATAATATCAGTGATTTCCCTGAGTGGCCACCGCCCCTCCCCCACCCCCCGCACGAGCAGGACAGGACTCCGTTACCAGTTACCACAGCAACACATTCACTACAGCAAACAAGCTAACTTTTTTCTTTATATATTATATTATATTATATTATATTATATTATATTGAGGAGAGCAGTTACAGCAAACATTATTCTTATTATATTATATTGCATTGTATTATTTTATATTATATAAAGAGGAGAGCAGTTACAGCAAACATTCTCTTTGTAGTATATATTATATTATTTTATATTATATTATATAGAGGAGAGCAGCTGCATGAAACATTCTCATATTATATTATTATATTAATTAAATGTTTACACTAATTACATACGTTTTTTTAAGGCGCTTTGGTGCATTTCTCAAATCACAACTAAAATTCTTGTTCAACCTCCACATCATCTAGTCACTTGTGCACATCATGAAAGCAGTTTATCATTCTTTTGAACAAATTGCAAATGCTTTGGTACATTCATGCAATAAATGTAAGTGTCTGCTGTTTCTTACATTATCAATTGCTTATGTCATGTTGATCAAAATGTATTATACTGGTTCTCTGTTGAATAGTCTTACCCCTCAAAACATATAGGCATTAAATTACTAGTTGTCATAAACTGTCAAACATATTTTCTATACAATTCTATTATACTTTTTTTGTCCTGAATTGCAGATGTGAATTTTGAATTTCACTAATGAAGGGGAATGTAAAGCATTAGATCAATCAATGATCACCAGTTCTCTATAATCGCTCAGAGTGCATCTCATGAAGCTTCCTCTGGAAGCCATATAGACAGAGCACAACACATACACACTCTGAGAATGGAAGAACAACAGGGTAACAGCCGAGAAGAAGAAGAGGAGGAGTAAGGATGTGTGGTGGAAGGATACAGAGGTAAAACAGAGAGATTGTAGGTTTCTGAAGAAATAGGGGCCAATATTGTAGATCATGTTCATGACCTCATGGCCGAGGCGGGTTGAAAGCTGAGCTGAATGTTGGGAGAACAACCGTGTGTGTCCTCAAACATTCAAGTCTTTATAGACAGAACATGCGTGTAATCAGACAGTGTTCACTATACTGTACTGTTCACCATAAGCTGTAGACTTACTGTATTACAGTGGAGTCTACTTGCATTTTACATGAGACAGTAAAAATACGTGATAGAGATCCCTTTCCCACTAATTAGATATCTTAAATGATGTTGTGTGCACTTCTGTATTTGTCTTCATTGTTGTACAGCCTTGATGTTAATATTTTGTTGAAAAATTGTTAAGACCCCAGGAAGAATAGCTGCTGCTTAATGGAGTAGCTAATGGGGATCTAAATAATAAACAATAAACAATAAACTCTACAGATAAAGCGTTGTGAATCTAGTTTCGCGTACCTACCCCGAAGTGATAAAATAAAACAAAATTATGTATCAAATTTATAGACAAGTAATTTGTTCAGGCATGGTTTTCTAGGGAAATACAAACCTACGCACATATATTCAAACGCACATAACTATAGAATCAATTCTTAATGCGCATGTGAACGCCATCAGCGTTAATCACAGGTTCACGTTTAAAGTCTGTTTAGAGACATTCATATACATTTTTACCTTGCAGTTACTGTAAATCCGGCCTCTAGTTCATAAACGCCAGAGGAGAACTGGCCCCCACTGAGCCTGGGTTCTCCCAAGGTTTTTTTCTTCTCCATTGGGTCCCTGATGGAGTTTTAGGACACCATCGGGTCACTTGATGGAGTTTTTCGGTTCCTTGCCACTGTTGCCTTTGGCTTGCTCAGTTGGGGATATTCAAATTAATTAACCAATCATTAATACCATTGATCAGCTCTACCAAACGTGGATGTTTTTCCACTAAGAAACGAACATTGTTATTATGTTTTGATTGATACTGTGAAGCTGCTTTGATGCAATCTATATTGTGAAAAGCGCTATATAAATATACTTGATAGAGACATAATGTAACACACACACATATACAGTATGTGTTTGAATAGTCTGTTCATCGCAATGGCATTGTCATTTTTTAACAGACCAACAGTGTATCTGTGAGTCCAGTCTCATAATGGGTACATGTGTTTATGTGTCATACAGATAATGTGCAGTCTTTTCATTGTCATCAAAATCGTAGCCAGTGTTTACTTCTCAAAATACTGATACAGTTATATTGACAACCATCAAAAGCCTGTAACTTGTTAAAAATCCTTAGTACAATATATATCAATGAACATATCAGTGCCTTGTGTCACAAACAAGAATGTCAAAATGCTGTCATGTAATCCTATTGTGTTCTGCTGTTTGTACGAAATGCACTTTCCTTGTTTGCAAATCTTAAGGATGATTCAAGAAATGTACCAAAGCGACTGATAAGAACTGTTTATAGAGGAGAGCAGTTACAGCATACATTCACTCT